TGCACAATAAGGTGATACAAACAAGTCAGGGCAAATACAAGAGGTTAGGATAACACAAAGGCAAACAGCTAAATCAGATCAAGTAACTATAACATGTGATTGTTATCTGTCAAATCTCATTTACTGTAAAAACTATGATGGTCTTGAACAACAAAAACAAAACGCAACAGCGAATAAGAAATCAGAACTGAGCTGTTGATTGAGAGCTTCTGTGTTGTGCTCAGAAAGAAAAGTCCGTCTCCAGATGAAGACTGTCTTTAAGTTGTTGTTCATGTTTGAAAGTACGACTTCAGCTCTTAAATATAACTATATATATATAATTCTGACTAATTTTCTCTGACTCAAACTTGTTTTGGCTGCCGGCATGAGCAGCTATTGCTTCACTTCAAAAAGAAGCTTATCAGTTAGGAAATATTCACAATGTTTTTACCAAAGGAATTCATGTTCAGCTGGTGAGATGTCACTCCGTCATCACCGAGCTTTCAGAAGTGTTTCGTACATTATATCTTTATATCCAGAGCAGGATGTGGGCCCATCATGGGATCTGTCATCCAAGCTATCAGTCCATCAGGGGGAACACGTGGAAAAACTCCTCAGGCTTTTTCCCTTTGACCACGGAAACCAAAAGCAGTAATCGCTGGTTAGCTTAGCATATGCCCCATATTAAATATCAATTAAAAAAGTCCCTTTAGAGGCGATGAAAAATCTTCACTTCACTCTTGTTCAGGACGACCCCCCCCCCCCCATCTGTACGTCAAGTTTCAAGTGTTTTCACTGTAAAAAGTTTAAGAAACTTTTCATTATGTATCTGTAACTTGCTCCAGTGAAATATATATTTAGTTCACTTCACTCCCAATATCTGTACTTCAAGTTTAGAGTATTCTCACTGTAGAAAACGAACAATAAATTCAGCTACTTTTTCACGGTGGCATCAATAACATGATGACCTTTGACCCGCTGCTGCTGCCGACAGCTCTAGATTCGTGTTTATCCAACAGTTGTATCATCCTCATTCATTTAAGGGACGTTACAGGGAGTCAGCCTCAAGAAGACCCCCCCCCCCCCCCCCCCCCAGCAGCAGACGAACTAAGTTTTCCCGCTGACAGCTGGAGAGTGGTCCGCTGACAGGAGGCAGGCGATAGCTCGCGCTAAAATACCAACTATCACTCCACTTCCTGTCCACAGAACAAAGTTATCACTGCGCTGTGTGTCGGCGTGACGTTAAAGGCCGGAGGATGAATCGGGGCTGAAGGTTTGCCACCTGCACGTTTATCAAACCTGTGAGGCCCAAATCTTCCCGCTGAGCCACAGCTGCTGTCGAGGCCTCTTTTCAGTCTCACCTTTCACATTTTTCTCTCCTGTGAAGCGGAGCGAGCCCTCGCCCTCATCCTGTCCTCACGCTGAAAGGAGATTGCTCTCCTCTGGAGGAGCGGGAGGGAGGTGATGAGCAGCTTACCTCCAGGAGGGATTAGCCTTATTAAAATGAAATAGTCTAGTCCTGAGTGACAGAGCAATGGAGGCGGAGGAAGGGAAGAGGCAGGGAGGACAGAGGAGAGGGCTGACGTTGTGTGAGGCCCGGCCCCCGAGGATCTGAAGCACCGCTCCTCTGTCTTCTCCCCCTCCCTCCATTCTTCACTTTCACCTCTCACTCTCTCCTCATCTTCTCCCCCCCCCCCACTCTTTTTCCTCTGGTCTGCTCTCTC